AATAGATACCTGGTTTGACCTGCCGATGGAAATGTACTGGGATTTAAAGAAAATCTGTGTATAAATTATTTATCGTTTACCATACTTAGAAAAATGACTATTTTTATGAAAGATAAGAAATAAGACTATGAAACATAATGGTGATTGAGCAAGATCATAAAATATATTATATTTGTGGTCAGGGACAATAAGCAGAGTTATGTTAGTGGTGCGCCGAAACCGACATTCGGGTAGGCCTGTAAAAAGAGTTAATAGTTTAACACTTTAATACATGTCTACATTACATCATAAATACATTTTATCAGCATCTATAACCATACCTGAAAAAGAAAATTGGTTAGTGGGAGATACTCTATAACAAAGATACTGGCTGATCTATGTTATGCCAAGTGGTGAAACAATTAAACTAAATTGGTGACTTGGGAATCTAACTAGTTGGCAAGTAGTGATTACCTATGATTTGGCCCGTTGGGTATGTTTGCCACCGAGCATTGTGGCGGGTGTTGGCCTCTCTGTGAGGATTAAAGAGATTCAAAATAAGTTGTCTGTGACAGGTGAGGCCCTAACTGCTTTGCCAAGAGGGCAGAGATGCGAGGCAGTAACTATGATTTGGCCCAAGGGGCGAATACCTCCGTAGTTGAGGATGGGAGTTTGACAGCTATAGAATGGCACAAGAAGCCGAAAACTACCTATGGCCACTTAGGGTACCCTAACAGCCAGCCCAAGCTTAAGATAAGTTTTGTAGTGCGAGTGGTTATTGTAAGAATGGAGGTAGTATCGTAAAGCGAGTCACTTACAAGGTGACTTAAAAAACGTAAATGCAAAAGAATAAATGTGGCATGATAAGATATACACCTGGCAGATAAATGAAAGCAATGCTAGAAATTGATGGTAAGAATAGGTGAATGGAAAGTGGAGGGCAAAAGAAAAAGGTTTACCAAGATCCAAAACTAAAATCCAACCAGAGAGAGAGAGACCCAAGAACTTAGTGTTCATAATTCAAAACTACAACACCAACACCAATGAAAATGCAACAGTTTGCCTGTAAGGTAGGGAAAGTAAGTGCAAGAAGCCCAGAACCAAAAATACTCTACTAACATCCGTTACCAAACTAACAAAGGAAATTGAACAGTTTGATAAATGGCTCAGTTGACTATACCCCTAGATATGCAATGGTCGGCATAAAGCATACCTGGTGAGACTTTACTTAACGATATAGGTCATGAAAGAGTTGGCCAGAATAATTGAACAACAAGACCCCTGTGAAGTATATGTCAGGAGGTTAGAGTGCGGTTCCCAAATTATCAAGTTGAGGATAACCAGCCGCAAGTGTCATAGTGACAGAAAGGCATATTATAAAACATAACAGTGCGGACATGTGGGGTAACTGAAAATTAACAGCTTTCATCAAAAGCCCCGACCCGATACATGTTTGTACCAAATTTAGGCATGAGTTCCCTCTGCACATCCTTCCACTAGAAGGACCTGAAGTGTGTATGAGAAAGAAAACCCTGAAAACCCGCAACCATCACATTAATCAAATCCCATAGCGTACTGCAGGAAGTGAAATACCAGAACTAGCAAGTGCCTTAGGGTGGAGGTACTAAACAGTTAAAATAGTGAAAGACCAAAGAAGCCTGGATATGTTAAATTCATAGTGATAGGTACCAGGTTCTCGGGTGTGTGCCGAGAGAGGGAAAAGACTTGCGTGGGCCTAACGAGGCCATGTGTAATATTGGAATGTAATATGAAAGGTTGTATTTCTTTGACCCTCGTATATTAGAAAATTGATGTATGTAATTGCCAAAATGAGGGTCCGAAACTGGCATATGTAATTGCCCAAATGTGGGGCCGAAATTGACGTATGTAACTTCCCAGATATGGTGGGCCAAAAATTGCCATAGTGCCCGTAGATAGCCATGTGTAAACGTATGGAGTGAAGGCTTAGTGAGGGCCATGTGTAGAGGTATTGTAGTGGAAGGCAGAGTGCTCAATGTTAGTCCTGAGCTGCTGGATGGAGAAATAGGTCTGTATGAGGGGTATGGATTCATGGAACGAACAAAAAAAGGATAAGCAGGTGTTGTGAAATGGCCAATTGTGAATACCTAGTTTTTTGGTCCAGTCCATTTGTAAAGGTAGAATAATTAGTTAGGCTAGAAGGAGGGTAACAAGGCCTGCAGTGGAGGCTGACTATAAGGCCCATGCCAAAAGATGACAAGTATACAACCAACACAATAGATTATATGGTGTCTCAATGTAGTTGACTTGAGACATAACATTGCTGTTACAAAATGCCTTTTGTAACTTGTATTTTATGTGACAAATTGCCCTGCTTACCTAAGTTGTGGAGAAGCCTAATTGCCAGCCTTCTGCCCCATGACTATGGACCTGGTGTGTATGGCCCTTTAAGAACTGTCTGAGCACAAATTGTGACTTTTGTGAACAATGTCCCTTTAAGACTATGTCCCCAGACCCTCAAAAACCTGTGTTCGTGATTTTTTCCCACTTGGTTCAGTAAATGGGGCTTATGGAACCAAGTACCTCACAGGCGGACCACCCAGAAGTGGAAGCGTGTGGCTAATTTACCTCCCAGGCTGGCAGGTTGCTGTAGGCAAATTGCCGACCACTAGGTGGCCGTCGTTCGTACAGCCTATGAGGAACCTCCTCACCCATTCACCACACTACCAGGGCCCTTCGAGTGAATATGTGCTAGAACTTCTAGGCATCGCGTTACAGAACAACTACTTTCTATTTGAAACTGAATGGTACCTACAAACAGCCGGCACCTCTATGGGAGCAGCGATG